GGACATACAAATGACTAAGAGACATATGAAGAAATGCTCAACATCACTAATCATTAGAGAGATGCAAATTAAAACAACAATGAGGTATCACCTCACACCTGTCAGAATGGCCGCCATCAACAAATCATCAAACAACAAGAGTTGGTGAGGGTGTGGAGAAAAGGGGACTCTAGTACACTGCTGGTGGGAATGCAGACTGGTGCAGCCACTATGGAAAACAATATGGTGTTACCTCAAAAAATTAAAAATTGAACTTCCATATGACCCAGTGATCCCGCTTCTAGGAATATACCATAAGAAGTCTGAAACACCAATCAGAAAGAATATATGTACCCCCATGTTTGTAGCAGCACCATTTACAATAGCTAAGATCTGGAAACAGCCCAAGTGTCCATCAGTAGACGAATGGATAAAAAAGCCATGGTACATATACACAATGGAGTACTACGCAGCTGTAAGAAAGAAAGATCTCTTATCCTTTGAGACTACATGGAGGGACCTGGAACGTATCAAGCCAAACAGAGAAAGACAAGTATCATATGATCTCACTTATTTTGGAATATAATAAACGTAACAGTCTGAGGAATGGGGTAGTCCCAGAGACGTGGAAGTGGGGTACAGACTGACAATCCCCAGAAGAGGGGGTGATGGGGGAGAGGTAAAGCACAGAACTTATATGCATGTATGCATGAACAATGGACATGGACAACAAAGCTGGGGATAGGGCAGGGAGGAAATGGGGGGGGGGATCAGTGGGGGGGGGAGGAGAAATATCTGTAACAAAAATTAATTAATTAATAAAAAAAAAGAAAGCTATTATAAATTTGTAAGTAGGAGAGTGACATTATCCACTTCATTAATTTTAAAAGTTTCCCAAATTTTGTGGAGAATAGATACAGAAGTGTTAAGAGTAAAAGCATTTTGGGGAAATCAGGAAGTTACTGCAGTAATCAAAGGAAAAGATGGTAGTTTGAATAAGGGTATTTAAAAATGGAGATGAGTGGATGGATTTAGGACATATTCCCTTTTTTTTTTTTAATCCTCACCTGAAAATATTTTTCTATATTCTTCAGCTAGAATGGGAGAGAGGGTGGAAGAGAGGGAGGGAGAGAGAGAGAAACATTGACTTGAGAGGGACATATCGACTGGTTGCCTCCTGCATGATCCTGACCAGGCCGAGACAAACTGCAACCAAGGTACATGCCCTTGATCAGAATCAAACCCGAGACTCATTGGTCTGCTGAGCCAAACCGCCCAGGTCAGGACATATTTCCTTTTTTTAGAGAGAGGACTTTTAAGAGAGGAAGGGGGAGAGAGAGAAAAAACATTGGTTGCCTCCTGAACACGACCCCACTGAGGATTGAACCTTTTGGTGTACAGGATGACTCTCCAACCAACTAAGCCATCAAGCCAGGGCTAGGACATATTTTGTCTCTCCAATGGCATTTAAGACTGGAAAGACAAAGGAAGAGGAGGATTAAAGGATGACTTGAGTAAATGGATGGATGAGGGATCTTTTATTGAGAGCAACACACTGTTTTGAGATACCTAAAGACAGGATGTGATACCCTGGAAGCAAATTTCCATATACTTTAACTTACCTCAGAATTTAAATTAAAAATATTTTAAATATTTAGAATATGAATTAAAACTATAGCATCTATGATGCAAAACATTCCTAAGAAATGTTAACGTATATGGTGTTCAAAGACTCTGTGTATGGAAAAAGCAAAATACATGCCAACCCGGAGTATGTAAAACACAGACAGTATAAAGTTATAATGCAAACTCTATTCCCTACCACAGTCTTGGGATGTTTTGTTTCTGTTTTAAGTTTAGATGTATGTTTACAGAAGCCATTTTCCCCAAATATATTGTTTTGGAGCTGAAATTTAAATTCTTTGGTTTAAAACAAGATACTGAAGGACTCCAAAAACACTAAAAATGAAAATGCTAATTTCAGCTAACATTACAGAATTAGAGTATCTGTGCTTGTGTTATTTCACAGAATTACTACAAAACAAAAAACAAAAACAAAAATACAGTTTTCCTGCCTTCTGGTCACAAGGTAAGACTGTACATCCTGGCCCCCTTAGAGTTAGGGAGAAAGTGGGAGTGGTTGTGATTAGTAACAGGCAGTGAGTCATCCCATGTGGAAATCATGGCTGAGCCCTGTAGAACTGCAGGGTGAAATCCTTCAGTTGTCTTTTTTCCTCAGCAGATTAGCCAGTAACATTCAGGAAGGCAACTGCTCTGGCTGCCTGGATCTCTGAGTGCTAAATGACACACAAAGTTCCCATCAATCCTGATGGACATGTACTTTGAGCAAAAAAATAAATAAATAATCCTATACTACTTAAACCACTGAGATTTTGGGGTTATTAGTTACCACTGCATAACCCAGCTATCCTGATCCTATTTGATAAAATGTTCTATGGCTTGCAATCTAGAAATGTATGTATTCTAAGGGGTAAGTAAACAATATCAGCAATGTAAACAATATAGACATATCATCCTTTCAGAGAGGAGCAAGGTAGACCAAGGAGCCAAACAGTTGGACTAAGTACTCTGTTCCACTAATTAATCATCCAGTATTTCCTCCAAGTATTAACTGTATCTACAACATATTATTATGTACTAGACAATCTAAAATATAGTCATAAGATAGGAAAGGCTGCTGCTTCATGGTGTTTATAATTTGACAGAGCTATTGCCTTGGCCGGTTTGGCTCAGCAGTAGATCGTCGGCCTGCCGACCAATGATTCGTGGGTTCAGTTCTGGCCATGGGCAAGTACCTTGGTTGCAGTTCATCCCTGTCCCTGGTCAGGGTAGTGCAGGAGGCAACCAGTCGATGTGCCCCTCTCACATCCATTTTTCTCCAAGAGGTCGCCGGTTCAATTCCAGGTCAGGGCACATTACCAGGTTGTGGGCCAAATCCCCAGTTGGCGGCATGCAAAAGGCGTCCAGTCAATGTTCTCTCTCATTGATGTTTCTATCTCTCTTTCGCTTTCCCTTCCTCTCTCTCTCAAATCAATAAAGAAAAAAAATTTAATAAAATAAAAAATAATAAAAACATATTTTTGACCCTTGTCAGATAGCTCAGTTGTTTAGTGTCATCCCAATACACCAATGTTGTGAATTTGATCCTCAGAGCACACACAAGATGAAACCAAAGAATGCGTGAATAAATGGAACAAGTCTCTCTCTCTCTCTAAAATCAATCAATAAATTAAAATATAAATTATTTTTATTTTTAAATCATAATTACTCTACAAATTCATTTTCTAGAGAATTAAGTCATTCATGATGTCAATTTTCTTAACTATCTGGAAACCCCAGTGTACAAGATGCCCTTTTAACCCACTTGTAGTTGCTGTGTCCATGTACTGCAGCCTGCTTCTCTGAAAATGTTGTGGGAAGATCTGGACGTGGGGGAGTGGGGTGGGGATGGGCTGACAGTTTTCATTCTGGATGTGAGAATTCCAGCCCTTTTCTAAAGGGGGAGTAGCTGCCTGGAGCACTTTTCTCCCTCTTCAGCCTTAAAACGGCTTATCTTAGCTGGTCTGAGTCTTGCTCCTTAATCAATCTGAACACTGAAGTACAGAATTTTTAGCAAGAAGCAATTTTTCTTGGATCTAAAAAACAGAAGTTCTTAATCTAAAGTCCCTAACTAGGTTTTGGGGTCCCACAAAATCCCAGAAATTACATACAAAATTATTTTTCTATGTGCATTTTTAAAGTAGAAGATTGACAGCTTTCCTCATCTATCCAAAGGATTCTGTGACTCTAAAAATATTAAGAACAATTTCCTAATGATTTAGAAGGGAAGGTTTTTTTTTTTAAGTAAATGTGAGAGCCCTGACCAGTTTGGTTCAGCAGGTAGAGCGTCGGCCCATGGACCAACGAGTCACGGGTTTGATTCCGGTCAAGGGCACGTACCTCTGTTGCGATTCATCCCCGGCCTTGGTTGGGGTTGTGCAGGAGGCAGCCACTCGATGTGTCCCTTTCACATCAATGTTTCTCTCTCTGTCTCTACTTTCTTCCTCTCTCTTCCTCCTACTCTATATGAACAAAAATGGAAAAATGTCCTTGGGTAAGGATAACAAAAAAAAAAAAAAGAAAGAAATGTGAGGGTTTTCTTGTTTTTCTCTGAGTTGTCTGCTTTTTCTATATCTCAAAAATAATGTCAGCTTAATAAGAATGTTAACTACTGAAAAGCTGGATGACCAAGATTTCATTATATTTCAGATGGACAAAGTTATAAACAAATGGAATGGAATAGGTATCTTCAAAAGGAAGAGATTGTCACCTTCATAAAATAAAAACAGACTACTACAAAAGAATCTATTAGTGATTCTGAAACTTTAAATGACTTTAAAAACACTTGTACTTTCCTTTGGTATTCTTATTAATAAAGATTAATGAAGTCTAAACCAACAAATGCACTAAATGGCTAAGGCATCTTACCTAAATAGTGATTATCAAAGGGAGAGATACAATATAAACTTCAGAAATAACTAATGATCAATGTTCTAAAAAAATACTTTTGAGTATGTTACACATATTTTTAGTCTGTATATCCTGTACCTTCTAAAAATATTTCTTAAATCATAAATATTTCTTACATCATAGTCTGAACATGCTATTTTAAAAATTATCTCCTCTTGAAGACAGCATCCTGCCTCTGCAAATGTGGGAGGGTTTGGATGTGAGTTAATTAATTTTAATTTTTAAAATTAAAAATGACATTTAAAATTTTTTATGCCTAGAGATGGGGCTTGAACTAGATTTCTCATGATCCTTTTCAGCTCTATTAATCTGGTCAATGGAGAAAAATGTCTAACTCCTTTCAATTTGAATTTTAGAATGAGTCCTAAGTTACTAAGCACAGAAAAAGAATTTTTATTCTTTGACCTGCCAGACTTCTAACAGTCAATGTAATACTCCAAGACAAATTAATACTTGCAGTACAACCACAATATGAAACAAAATAAATATACCTCCTGTTCTTCCATTACCAATCTGCACAGCAGGTTGAAGGCTTCCTTCATTTTGCAATAAATGAGGCAAATGATAATAAATACTTGGCACTTGAAGAGATTTTTTGCTTGTTAACTCCTTTAGTAGCTTTAGGGTATTATCTGAAACACACAAGTATAATTAATCCATTGGACACCTTACTTATACAAGTTGCAGCTTTTATAAATAGAGCAGTAACATTTAAAGCTAGAACTAAAGAATTTCTTTCTTAATTTCATACTTTGGTAAATGAGATCTCCACTTAAAATGAAAAGATGCTTTTGCAACAAAATAAAACAATGATACTAAATTTTGGTGATAATGTGATAAATGTTTCAGCTATTAAGAACATCACAAACTCTACAACATCTCTGTCCTATTATTCAATAATTTCCCTTTTAGGAATTAAATTTAACTTTTATGCATTCAATGACTATTTAGTGATTATCTATTTTGTTGCAGCGACTGTGCCATGTTGTTTAGAAATCAACAGTCATCAAAACATAGATCCCTGCCCAGCCGGTGTGACTCAGTGGTTGAGGATCTACCCATTCATCAGGAGGTCAACTCGTTTGATTCCTGGTTGGGGGTACATGCCCAGGCTGTGGGCCCAACCCCCAGTGGGGGGCATGGAGGAGGCAGCCAATTGATATTCTCTCTCATCAATGTTTCTCTCTCTCTCTCTCCTTCACCCTGCCTCTCTCTCTAAAATCAATAAAGAAAAAAAAATTTTTTTAAACACATGAATCCTGTTTTTAAGAAAGTCATAACCTAATGAAAATAACTTAAGAGCTACCAGAAAATGTGATCAATTTATATGCAAAGATGTTCATCACAGAACAGAAAAACCACCAGAAAATTCTATTTGCCTAATTATTAAAAATTGTTTAATATATTATAGTAAATGATTAGCTGACAAGTTATATAGCTATTAGAAATGGTATTTTTGAAGAATATTCAATAATAGTAAATGCTAATAGCATAATTTGAAAAGCAAAAATAAGGCTATAACACACAATCATAATTTTGAAAAAAAAATATTCATGAAAAAAAAGACTAGACAGAAACCAAAAAAAAGTTAACAGAAATCACTTGGCAGGAGGCTTACAGGTGATTTCTTTTTATTAGCTATACCATTCCATAATTTTATTATTCACTTATTTATATTATTATTTTTTAATCCTCACCCAAGGACATACTGAGAGAGAGAGATGATGTGAAAAGAATCAATTGGTTGCCTCCTGTAGGTGCCCCAACCAGGGACTGAACACACAACCCAGGTATGTGCCCTGACCAAGAATCAAACCAGCAACTTTTGGTGCACAGGATGATGCTCAACCAACTGAGCCACTCCAGCCGGGTTACCATTCCATAATTCAAATGTTACTGTGCCATAATACAATTTTATAATCAGGAGGGAAAAGGATGAGCATAAAACTTGAAAAATAAGGTAAAGTAGTGAATCGTATAAGAGGAATTAATGGTAAAGGATTAGAATAGGTAAAGCTAAATGATAAAAATATATTCATCTTGAAATAATATGTAAATTTGAAATAATATGTAAATCTGATTATACACATATATCAATTTAACTATTAGAATAAGAATGGCACAGAAACAGAGAGAAGATGGGCACTCATCTTATTCTGACCAGAAGCTCTCAGAGTAAAAAGTCAAATATCTCCAAAAGTACCCATTATAAAATTTTATATTTTTTTCCTATAAGTCAAATCTAAGAGCATTAATTGCTCCAAAGAGCTAAAAAATTCTCCAGAGTCCATCTGAGGTCCACACAAATCAAAACATAAAGATGTATAAATGCAAAGTTAAATTTTGATCTTAATTTGAATATGATTTTAAAAATATAAAAACACTACTATCAATGAAATTTAACCCATTACTACTCTCTTAAAATCAATTCATAAAAACTGTTTTATAATTTACAATAGAAAGTTTTCTGTGGTGATTTTTCTCTCTGAAAAGGGTAATGTTGGCTAATAAGGTACTCTATACAACTTTCAAATAAAATACTTCACATGACCCTTTGAAAATATATTCTTTTTATAAAACTAAAAATATAATTTGTACCTGAAAATTTATTCAGTGTGTCCTTACTTCCATTTGTTTCTGCTCCTACACGCCTGAACTGCTGTACAATGGCATTTAATTCAGAAGAGCGCTGTGAGATTCTATGTTCAGCAATTCGAAGACGTTCTTTCAAAGCAAGAAATTCTCGTTGATAAGCAATCAGTTTTTCTAGAAGCAAACCCAAAAGTTATTAGTGTATTTCTAAAATAATAATAATAATAATAATAACAAACATAAAACAAAACTGACACAGAACTGAAAATAAAAAGGAGCCCTGATGAGTTATATAAAAAAGCACCAGTGCCTGTCTGGTGTGGCTCAGTGGTTGAGCATCGACCCATGTACCAAGAGGTCACCGGTTTGATTCCTGGTCAGGGCACATGCCCAGGTTGTGGGCCTGATACCTGGGTGAGAGGCATGAAGGAGGTGGCAAACTGACGTTCTCTCTCATCAATGTTTCTGTCTCTCTCTCCATCTCCCTCTCTCTCTAAAATCAATAAAGAAAAAATTGTTTAAAAAAGCACCAGTAACTAGCTCCCCGCCCCGCCCCCATCTTCCTCTCCTCCTGTCTCTCACCCCCAAGTCTAATATAACTCTCCTTTCTTGCAGGACAGGGACAAAAAAATTAAAAATAAATAAATTAAATAAATAAATAAATAAATAACTAGCACCAGTAACTAAATGTGCTCTTATATCTTTCAGAACGTGAGTAATTTCTTCATAGTATTTCAGAAATTAAGATAAGGAGAAAAAGATAAAAAGTTTTTAAAATCAACACTTCAAGAATAGTACTAACATCATTTCAAAAGGTACAAATAACTAATAAAGAGTATAAAGAAGATAGAGAAATGAGGCATTGAGACTGATGGTAAATATATATAATAATATAATGAATATAACATCTTTTTTGGCATAATTATTAATTTAGGCTAAATGTTTCCTCTGTACTTCCTATTCTGCAAAGATGTCCCTAGGCCCAACTTTGGTCAAATTCCTGGATCCCTAAAAACTCCATCAGGTAAATGTTAGATGACCCTAGTTAAAAGGCCATTCATTATAATTTGAGAGAATCACAGGTCAGGAGAACCTGGTCTGGGAAATTAATGTAGATTTTCATGAGGATAAATGTAGGCACTGAAACAACAGTAGGAGACAGCCCAAAGACAAAGTGCACAGTGAGAAGAGACCCAGGGACAGAACCGGACACCAAAATCTAAGAGATGGTAGAAAAAGAAAAAACATTCATTTATCTTGATCACCACTGCTGAAAGGTAGTTGAGGCTATGGCAGTACTATCAGCAATTTCCACAACCTCATTAAACTAAAAGAAACCAGAACAATAAGTTTCAACTTCTATATCAAACTAGATAATCCAAAGCTACTATATTGACACCTAAATTAAACACATCTTAGAAAGACATTTTAAAAAATGTATTATTATAATATCTGCTTTATTCTAGCACAGAGTCAATAAGAAACAAGACGTATGAAAACTAAATCTGGTCATCCAGTCAAGATGGCAGCGTAGGTAAACGTGGTATCGTGTCCTCCCACAACCACATCAAAGTACAACTAAACTACAGAACATCCATCATTCAAAACCGTCTGAAATCAAGTTGAATGGAAGTCCTACAATTATGAAATTAAAGAAGCAGCCGCATCAAGACTGGTAGGAGGGGTGGAGGCGCTACGGGCTGGTCCCACACCCACGTGTGGCGGAAAAAAATTAGGACACCTCGTCTGGGAAAGTCCTCCCTCAGGACTGAGGGGTCCCAGTCCCACACCAGGTGCCCAGCTCAGGGTTCCAGAGCCAGGAAGAGAAGTCCCATAACTTCTGGCTGGAAAAACCAGGGGGAACTGAGGCTGAGGGAGGCTGAGGCAGCTGGAGACCGAGGCACCTCCTCTTAAAGGGCACTCAGACTTGCACCCTCCAGGCTTCAGTGTGGGGGAGGTAGCTTGAAAGGCACCAGAGACATATGGGGAAGAACTGAGTTGTTTGGCATTGGAGCGAGGAATGGAGAGGCAGCTTTCTCTTGGACAGACCTGCTGTCAGAGGTCTTTGTTACTTTGGTGAGCCCTTTCCTGGGGCAGCAGACACCCAGTCATATTTGGGACTCCAGCAACTTGGCTCACACTCTTTGCCCCTCCCTGGTGATTCCCTGAAGCCCCGCCCCACCCAAGCTGCTGCCAGTTGCTTGACCATAGGATTGGCCTGTTTCAGATCATGCTTCAGGTTTTCCTAAATTCTTTCAAACAAGCAGCATCTGGTCTCAGCTAGCCCCATACTTCTCGTTAAGTAATACATAGAAACAAATACAGGGAGGCAGCCAAAATGAGGAGACAAAGAAATAGGTTTCAAATGAAAGAACAGGAAAAGAACTAAGTAAAATAGAGATAAGCAACCTAACAGATACAGAATTCAAAACACTGCTTGCTTATAAGGATGCTCAATGAACTTAGTGAGAACCTCAATGAACATAGTGAGGGCCTCAAGAGCATAAAAAAGGAGAAGTCAGAAATGAAGGATGCACTTACTGAAATAAAAAATAATTTACAGATTCAATAGTAGAGTAGGTAAAGAAAGCCAAGAAGCAAACCATCGACTTGGAATATAAAGAAGCAAAAAACACCCAATCACAACAACAACAACAATAAAAAAAGAATCCAAAAAAAATGAGGATAGTGTAAGGAGCCTCTGGGACAGCTTCAAGTGTACCAACATTCGCATCTTGGGGATGCCAGAAGGAGAAGAGAGAGAACAAGAAATTGAAAACCTATTTGAAACAATAATGGTAGAAAACTTCTGTAACTTGGTGAAGAAAACAGACATACAAGTCCAGGAAGCACAGAGAGTACCAAACAAGATGAACCCTAAGAGGCCCACACCAAGACACATCATCATCAAAATGCAAAAGGTTCAAGACAAAGAGAGAATCTTTTTTTTTTTTTTTTTAATCCTCACCCGAGGACATTCTTTCTATTTTTTGTTCAGATAGGGTGTGGGAGGGAGAGAGAGAGAGAGAAACATCGACGTTGGGCCGGGGACAAACTGCAACCGAGGTACACGCCCTTAGCGGGAACCGAACCCGGGTCTCTCAGGACCGCAGGCCGACGCTCTAACCGCTGAGCCAAACCAGCCAGGGCCAAAGAGAGAATCTTAAAAGCAGCAAGAGAAAAGCAGTTAGTAACCTACAAGAAAGCTCTCATAAGACTGTCAGCTGATTCTCAAAAGAAACTTTGCAGGCCAGAAGGGAGTGGCAAGAAATATTCAAAGTGATGAAAAGCAAGAACCTACAACCAAGATTACTCTATCCTGCAAAGCTGTCATTTAGAATTGATGGCCATATAAAGAGTTTCCCAGACAAGAAAAAGAAAAAGCTAAAGGAGTTCATCACCACCAAACCATTATTACATGAAATGTTGAAGGGTTTTCTTGAAGAAAAAGATACAAAATATGAACAAACAAAATGGCAATGAATACACAGCTATCGAAAATTGAATCTACAAACAAAATGAACAGGCAGAACAGAAGCATTCTCATAGATACAGTGAACATTTTGTTGGTTGCCAGATGGGAGGGGGGTTGGGGGAATGGGTGTAGGGATTAAGAAGTACAAATTGGTTGTTAGACTGACAAACCTTAAAGGGAAGGGGGTTGGGGTGTGGAAAGAGATAAACCAAAGAACTTATATGTATATATGCATAACCAATGGACACAGACAACAGTGTGGGAAAAGGCAGAAAGGGGGTGGGAGTGGGGAGGAGGGGATCAATAGGGGAGAAACGAGGAAGATCTGTAATACATTCAACAATAAAAATAAATTTTAAAAAAATTAAATCTGTATATTTCATAAAGCTAGTCTTAAAAAGAGTCAATTATACTGTTCCTGTCCCTTACATAAAGGCCCTCAGAGTAAATATCTCTTATGAATTCTTTTGTTTTGCCCTGGCCGGTCTGGCTCAGCGGTTAGAGCATTGGTCTGTGGACCAGAGAGTCCCGGGTTTGGTTTCTGCTAAGGGCACGTACCTCAGTTGTGGTTCGTCCCCGACCCCTGTTAGGGTTGTGCGGGTGGCAATCAGTCGATGTGTCTCTCTCACATCGATGTTTTTCTCTTTCTCTCTTCCTCCCTCTCTCCCTCCTGCTCTATCTGAACATAAATGCAAAAGTGTCCTCGGGTGAGGATAAAGAAAAAAGAATTCGCCCTGGCCGGTTTGGCTCAGCGGTTAGAGCGTCGGCCTGCGGTCCGGAGAGACCCAGGTTCGGTTCCCGCTAAGGGCACGTACTTCGGTTGCAGTTTGTCCCCGGCCCTGGTTGGTCGTGCGGGTGGCAGCCACTCGATGTGTCCCTTCACGTCGATGTTTCTCTCTCTCTCGATGTTTCTCTCTCTCTCTCCCTTCCTCTCTCTCCCTCCCACTCTATCTGTACAAAAAAATGGAAAAATATCCTCGGGTGAGGATAAAGAAAAAAGAATTCTTCTTTTTTTATTTTCTTTTAGAGAGAGGAAGGGAGAGGAAGAGAGAGACAGAAACATCAATGAGAGAGAACATCAAGTGGCTGCCTTCTGCATGCCCTCCACTGGGGATTGGGCCCACAACCTAGGCATGTGTCCTGACCGGGAATCGAACCAGTGACCTCTTGGTGCATGGGTCGACGCTCAACCACTGAGCCGCACTGGCCAGATTATCTCCTAAGAATTCGATGGCAGGAAAATAAAGTCTCTCTTGCTTAACTGTCATGCTTTGAATAATGAAAGCCATGTAATAGCGGTATCCCCCTTAATTTTCTGGCTTTAGGAGGAAACAAAGGAGACGAGGTGTTGTGATTAAGAAAGGGCAAACAGGGAGCTTTGGGTGCCAGCAAAGTTCTATTAATTGAGCTGTGTAGTGGTTAAATAAAATTCAGTACTATACATTTATAGTTTAGGTACTTCTCCATATGCATAAATTCAAAATAAAAGAATCATTATAAGATACTATTCACAAATACAAAACTATAAGCAATTACTGATGACTTTGAACCACATCAGGGTTAGGGTGCTGACCCTATACAGTGGAAACTCCATATATACCTTTTGACTCACCAAAAATGTACCTACAGTTGGCTCTTCATATCATGGGTTTTGCATCTGCAGATTCAACCAATTGAGGATTGATAACTTTCAATCCTC